TAATTATTTTTAAGCAATTTCAATTATTTGTACATCATTATTAATAATAGGTAAACATAAAGCCTCTGATTGATAATACTTTGTTGGCATTCATTTGTAAATCATTAAGATGCTGAAAGCAATCTTATAGCATTAAGGTAGAGACATTGTCCAAAACTTTTGTTTTAGAGAAAAAGAAAAATGGCGTCTAGACACATCAAAGCTCAGAGCCTCAAAGATGAATGGGATGAACCACTATAGGAACTGGAAATGTTTATATAATAGTTTAGAAAGGTTTATACTTTAAAAGGGAATATAGTAGCTATTTCAAGTTTTTGAAGAGATGCCATATGAAAGAGAATAAGGCCAGTTCAAGGTTTTAAAGGAGAAATAATTAAAGAAAATATATACATAAAATTTTTGTTCTTTTTTCCCCCAAAAAAAATCTTGGTACGGAGAAGAGCTTTATAAATAAGATATAAAATTAAACCCAGAAACCAGAAGAAAAAAAGGTTGATAAACATAAATATATAAAAGTATAAAGTTTATAAAACAAAGAAATTTATTGACTAAGTTAAAATAACATTAGGAAAAATAGACGAGGCATTCTACAAAAAAAAGGCAAGTTCACAAAATAAGAACTACAAATGGCTTAAAAAAATTAATACTTGAAAAGATGCTCAATCTTACTCATATTTACATATATTTTGTAATCTTCACTGGAGAACATGCTTTTTTATTGAGATTTTAGAGAGAAGAAGGGAGAGGGAGAGAGAGAAAAAAACATCAATGTGAGAAGTGAAACATCAATTAGCCACCTTCTGCACACACACCAACCAGGGATCAAACCTGAAACTTGGCTATATGCCCACTGGGAATCAAACTCTTGATGCTTTGGTGCATGGGATGATATTTAATCAACTGACCCACACCAACCAGGACTTGCTCATATTTAAAGATGTAAATGAAAAATACCAAAACAGGACATTTTTTACCTACAGAATGATAAAAATGTATTTTTTCCAATCACATATGTGGGTGGGAGAGGGAAGAAAAGTACCTTCTTAAAAATGTTGCCGAAAGTTCCCCACTTATAAATATGAGAAAAATAAATATTCTACCAGTTTATACTCTAGTAGAAGAATCTCTTTGGAGAGTCTCAAAATTAAAATTGGCAACATGTTCTGTGGTAATCATTCCCTTCACCAAATATTTTTGGGTCTCTGCCTTCTAGGTATAGTAATTCCCCCTAATCTGCAGTTTCACTTTCAGTTACCCTTGGTCAACAATGGCCTGAAAATATTAAATCACAAATTTGAGACGTGAACAATTCATAAGTTTTAAATGGCACACTGTTCTGAATAGCATGATGAAATCTTGTGCCATCTATACCATGACCTCCCCACTCCTGACCTTGTTAATCACTTCTGGGTTATCAGATAAACTGTAGTATCTCAGTGCTTATGTTCAAAGAACCCTCATTTTACTTTTAATCCCCAAAGCACAGGAGTGGTGATGCTGGCCATTGCGACACATTCATATGCTCCAAAGAGAAGCCATAATTGAAAAGGTGAGTACAGTAAATAAGATATTGAGAAAGAGAGGAAGAAAGACTGAGACCACATTCATATAATTTTCATTACAGTATATTGCTATCATTACTCATTTATAATAATAAAAGCGTAATAGACTAATTAGACTAGACAGCCGAATGACCTTCTGGACACACTTCTGGACGAAGCCACAGGGGTGAGGGCCAAGCCCCTTGCATGAATTTCGTGCATCAGGCCTCTAGTTTTATAATTGTCGTTAATCACTTATTCTGTCTAATTTTTAAGTTTGACTTTATTACAGATATGTATGTGTAAGTAAAACATACACATACACACACACACATATATATGGTTTGGTAATATTTGCAGTTTCAGGCATTCACTGGGGATCTTAGAACATATTCTCCACAGATAAGAGGGCACTACTGTATATAGAATTGAGCCTCTCCATTCTGTCTGAATTAAGTGTGGCTATGTGACGTGTCTTAGCTAAAGAGTAACATGTGTTTGGGCAGAAGCTTAAGGAAACAGTGTAGATTTGCTGTATTTCCTTTGTCTTGGAAACCTAGAGACTGAGTTTCCCTCATACTGGGTTCCTGAGTGAGGATGATATAGAACAGATCCCACCAGCTAATCTATAATGGCAAGTGAGCTAGAAATAAACCTTTGTTGCTTTGAAGACACAGTTTGTCACTGCAGTATAACCAAGCCTAAGTGATACATCTATCAAAAAAAAAAAATACATATATCCTGTGACATAGCAGTTTCACTATGAGTAATACCTTCTGCCAACATACTTGGACAAGGACACAGATATGTATATACAGAATTTTTACTGCAGTTTGTAAAAGCAAGATTTTAAGGTCTATCAAGAAAGGACTAGTTAGAGATTATGTCCAAAATACTATGTGGCCATTTTTAAAGAAAGCAGACCTACACTTGTTGACCTGGAATAGTAAAGAAAAAAAAGAAAAGAAAAAAAAAAAAGAAAAGAAAAAGATCAAAATACTCTATTCCATTTTTTAAAAGAGATGTTTATATATATATATATATATATATATATATATATATATATATATATGCTTGATACATAATTTCAATTTCCAGCAGAATAGAAAATGAACTATTTATGAATAGCTATTAATTGTCTGTGGTGAGGGTTAATTTTCATTATACAACCTTCTGTTCCTACATCAATTAAAATAAAATAAAAAACAGTATATGTAGGAAAATAATATTTGAGTGTAATAAAATTGATTAATTCTAAAATTTATATGGAATAGTCAGAGATCCCAAACAGCCCAAATAATTTTGAAAAGGAACAAAGTATGACTTACACATCCCAATTTCAAAAAAACAGTAAGTAATAATAATCAAGACAGTGTAGTACCAGCATGGACATAATAGACATATAGATAAAAAATGAAATGAAAAAAAAAAGTAAAATATTGATATAAGTAATTAAAAAAAAAAAACACTGTAGTTTACCAGTTAGATCAATACCACAGGTGGATTTCTGTACACATATCAGAGAATAAGAAACCAGTTTTGGCAGCAGCGTCAGTTTTTTAAGAGCCTCTGGCTATTATAACAAAACACAGGAAGCAGGCCTTTCCACCCCCTCCAAGAAAATTGGTTCGAATGAGTTGCCAATGTTACAAAAAGCATATTTTATGAATGGGAGAAAACACCAGAAAGTCTCAGGATACAGTGAATGATAAAGTAGTTATTAGTACTTTCCAGAAATTAAGTAGAGTCAGGTGGTATGAGCGAAAGACAAAAGTATAGATAGGTAACTGGCCAGTATCTACATTTCAATATGTGTTTTTAATAGGTAAAATAAGACTCTTCTTTATATCTATAGATTTTAAACTGAAATTGCTAAAAAAATTATTTTCTTCCTATTCGGCACTCATTTTTGTCTGATTCCTGTAGTACTTTAAGGACTCAAATGTAATTTTATTCCTTTGGGCTAATGGTGATGATGGTGGCAGACTTGGTGATGAGACGAGCAGGTTCCTGGCAAAAGTTCCATTAATTTACCTCTTTTTCTTCTGTTGATTCTACAGCAGAGGGCATATCAAACAATGTATTTCTTTTTTTTATTTTTCTTTTTAGAAAAATATATTTTATTGATTTTTTACAGAGAGGAAGGGAGAGAGATAGAGAGCTAGAAACGTCGATGAGAGAGAAACATCGACCAGCTGTCTCTTGCACACCCCTTACTGGGGATGTGCCCACAAACCAATGTACATGCCCGTGACCGGAATCGAACTTGGGACCTTTCAGTCCGACGCTCTATCCACTGAGCCAAACCGGTTTCGGCAATGTATTTCTTATAAACATAAATTAATATATATTTTAGTACTATGCCAATACCAACTAAATCTATTTCAGAAAAGGATACTGATGTGAGAGAGATTTAAAGCTAACATTTCTATTAACAATTCAGCTGTTAATAGAAATAAAAGAAAAGCTTGTTGCATTAACTTATTATTTAAAAAATATATTTTATTGATTTTTTTTTACAGAGAGGAAGAGAGGGATAGAGAGTTAGAAACAATAATGAGAGAGAAGCATTGATCAGCTGCTTCCTGCACACCTCTTACTGGGGATGTGCCCACAACCAAGGTACATGCCCTTGACTGAAATTGAACCTGAGACCTTTCAGTCGGCAGGCTGATGCTCTATCTATTGAGCCAAACAGAATAGGGCACATTAACTTATTATTATTTTTTAAAATATATCTTATTGATTTTTTTACAGAGAGGAAGAGAGAGGGATAGAGAGTTAGAAACATTGATGAGAGAGAATCATCGATCAACTGCCTCTTCCACACCCCTAATTGGGGATGTGCCCGCAACCAAGGTACATGCCCTTGACCGGAATCGAACCTGGGACCTTTTAGTCCATAGGCCGACGTTCTATCCACTGAGCCAAACCGGTTTTGGCCACATTAACTTATTTTTTAAAGTGAGGCTGAAAGAGACAAATATTAAGAAAAGGATTCATTTTTTTTCTTTAAATTATTCTAGGACTTATAGCAATATAGGCTTTGATATAAAATAAGAGCATGTATGAAGAAATAAAAAAAATTCTGATCAAAGAAGACAGATTTACTATATTAGTCCACTAACTCTGATTTAAATGGTTTTATGAATTTTTATTTGCAGTAATTTTAAAGGGAAAGTAAGCATCACTATAGGTAAAACAGTAACTGAAAATGTGTTATAAACATTAAGAAAACAAATAAGAGTTGATTATTCTAAACATTTCACAACTCTATCATTCAAACTTCAAGTTACATACAGTAACAAAATTGAAATTTAAAATTTATATGAATACTGCAAAGGCTACTAAAAGATGAAGTAAAAATGCTGATGCTCATTTCTGCAGTGAGAATGTACAGCACTAAGCCTGGAATGGAAAATGATCCCCTTTCAGTATCATCATCATTATTATTATTACCTTGTGTGTAGGCAGCATCATCAGATCCCATACTCAACTTCCGTGCCTCACTTATTCTATCCACATGTGCTAATGGAGGGTCCGTGAGGTGTTGAACAGTCTCTGTTTCTACATAATGATCTGGATGATTTAGAAGATTTGTAAGTTCAAAGGTAGGGGATACAACCCCTGGCGAAACTGCAGGGGGTTTATTGGGAGAAACTGTAATTTTGAAAGTATATTTTGTATTGGGCTGAGTGACCACCACTCGGGGAGAAGTTGCAGAGTTATTGCCTATTGCTCGGCTTTTGGGAGGGTGGTGGTGAATGAAGGCAGGACCCATGCTCACTTGCCCAGACATGTTCCTGGAGGCGGCAGATGCTCCAGCGTTTGTGGATATGAAGAGGGTAGGCTGATTCCGGATGACCGGATCATCTCCTGTGCTGGCGTTAGCTGAAATATAGACCTTAGGTTGACTACGGGACATCACCTCATCGGTATTTGGGGGACTGGCAGCTATGTAAACAGTGGGCTGATTTCTATTTAAGGTCTGACTGTTGACAGAAGAGGAGCTGCTGGAAGTTCGAGGTCCAGAAGAACGCAATTTTGAAGAGCTGTTTCTTTGTGGAGGTTCAAGTTTGATTTCAATCTGATTTTTTCGAGGTCCTGTTGAAATATTCTGAATGTTATATTGGCTATGGGCAGAAGACTGAGAGCTACCAGATGAATGAATTGTTGGTGGTTGTGGGGTGGTAGGTGAACTGATGGGCATGTAGACATGAGAGGTCTGGTGGCCTTGCTGATTTGGCTGCTGGGCTGAGGTATGTGACAAAGGATTAGATGCAGGGTAAGTAGTCCAGGGACCAGGTTGTGAAGGTTGATAGACTTGTTGAGAGTTCATGGGATTAAACTGAGATACCCAGCCAGAATGCTGTGTCTGTCGAGTTGTACCACTAGGAGTTGTAATGTAAGGCCTAATATAGATAGAATTTCCCTGTGGACTGTTAAGTACAGGTGGAGGTACACCATGTATGTGCAAAGATGTAGGAGTATTACGACCAGTCTGGATATTTGGGGCTAAAGTTACCATGATGGGATTAAATCTGGTAGTTGGTTGAGAGAAGTTAGATGTTCCTTTGCTGCCTAAGTGAAATCCAAGATGTGGTGCTGAATTTGAAGCACCAGATGTACTGGATATTCCAAAAACGTTAAAGCCTTGAGGAACGTGAGCTGGTGCTGTCTGTGGCTCCTGCTGAAATAGTTCATTATTGGACTGACCACCTTGAAGTTGTCCATCACTAATGCTGTGCGTTAGTGTCCTACTTCCATTCATTCTATTTCCTTCTCTTCCATGGTGGTAAACATTCTGTGACTGCAAGTCCAAATTGAGAGAAGTCATGTGATTGCGTAGACCAGAAATTCCAGAATCATCTGAAAAATTCAAGTCTCCTTCACCGTAAAGATACCGTGTACTCTCCTGAGAGAGAACTGCACAGCAGGCATCCAGGTTATTATTATTCTAGAAAAAAATAAAAACAGCTTGATGTTAAGAACTGTAAGCTAATGTTTATGCTCTGTGATGGGCATAATCAACAAATGTTAATAAAATTAACTAATTTGAGAAGAAATGTTTTGATGCAAATAGTTGAATTAAAAATCCTCATTACCAATGTAATGGAAAAGTTCTCTAATCAGCAACAGCTAAGTGAACCAATTATTTTATTTTAGAAGCTATTTTATAGTAAAATGAACTCATGCAAATAAAATTACAACCTAATAAAAATAGACAATTTAAGTGTTGAACATTCAACTTAAGCATATACTACTGTATGATTAAATATTTTATACCTTTAAGTGCTACACAAATCCTTTTAAAATGGCCTTTAAAAAAATTTGTAGTATTTAAATAAATAAAAAAACAACCCCCAAACACATATATAATTGAAGTATCAGCTCCAGACAGCCTCTGGAGTAACTGAGTTGATTATCTATCTTTAGGTAGCACCATAGAAAAATCCACTCCTGAGAAGTAAGAAACAAAACAAAAAACCAACCAGATTTTTTTCTAAAGAATCCTCAGAAGAGACTAATCACTATTCATAAATTATCCATACACAAATTTATTAAACACCCACAATACGCACAAAACCCTGTCTGAGATTGTTGAAGACTCAATGACATAAAAAAAAACTCAATTTTTCCCTAGAAGAATTTGCAGCTAGATTAGCTCTCTAATCTAGCCAAGCATGGGCTTTTGAAAAGGTAATATTAAAATGTTAAATAATAAGTGGTACTGAAGTTCAATGGAGAGAAAATATTGTAGATTACTGTAGAATATGTAGGCATGGTTGGTCTTTGCACAGAAGAGGCAGGATAAAAAATTTCCCTGTACTGGTTTGTAGAATAATGAACTGATAACCTAGCAACCTCCAAAGGTGACTAAGATTTTTTTGTATCATTATAAACTCCTGTATCTTTAACATTCTGTTGTGTGTAACTGATTACGGCCATTATATTCTATTTCTAGGCTAGCAGGAATAACTTCAAGTTGCTTCCTATGTACAATGACATGAACCTAGTGGTTTTCAAAGCTCCCATGCTTTCCGAAATGACAAGATGTTCAGATCACTTTGTACACTCTATATCTTAAACCTGGAATCAACTAGTATTCTCAAATAAGCCTTTACTACTTCTACAGTGGAGAGAGTTCCTTTTAAGTGTATCAAAACAGGTGGGATGAGTTTTTTAAAGGTTGAGCATCATTACTTTTTTGTATATTAGTACATACAAATCTGCAATCTCTTCAAAGCTAAGAAATTGAACCAAGCCATCTGAATCACAATTCCAGTTCCTCTTTCATTCTTCCCCAAGCTTCTTGTATAGATATGGAGATAATAGGTAGTAATCAAAGTATACATTATGATCACCCTTCTCAAACTCTTATCCATTCTCTCTTTAAATCAATAGCTACTGAGCACCCATTAGGCAAGTAGAAAGGAATACAATCACTACTCTTAAAGAACTCACAGTCCAGTGGAGAATATTAATGTGTACACAAATATAATACAGAATGGTAGGCGTTTTAACAGAAATATGGGTAAAGACTATAGGTGGAGGTCATCTAAGAAGGCATCAACTAAAGATATGCTATTCAAATACTAAGTTTTACAAAAAAAAAACAACAATACTTAATGCATTACTTTGAAAATAAATAGCAATTTTAAACAGATTCAATCATATTAAGAAAATTAGTGAAAAATTCAGTTAAAAAAATCAAACTACCAACTATGCTATATTTTCATACTGTTCTGAGATTATCACTAAACATCAATCAATTGTAAAGATATGAACTATACCTACAGATAATATAGCTATTTTAGAGACTCCAGAGCACAAGGAAGTGATGTGAGTAGTTCAGAAACAGGGATCTGAGCAGTAAAGCCCAGAAGAGAACAGCGGGTAGAGCCTTATGTTCTCCTAAGAAGTGTGATGTTTAAGAAGAAAAGTGCCAGTGGGGCATGATCCTGTAACTACTCATTTTTAATATTTTGTACACTACGTGTTTTTTTTTTCCATCTAGAAAAGTTCTAAACCAGTACATTATAAGAAAGGACAGATACCAACACAATTGAGAAAGGGAGAGTAGCTCCCAAAGAAAGGCTAACACTAAATAAGATTTATACTACATTTAGATGTAGCTTAATTTACCTTTATAATTTAAAATTATTTTTCCAAATTTGGGGAAACTTACACCCTAGTTGTATCCCCCGAGTTGCTCTCCCTATTTCTCATATATATATATATATATATATATATATATAATTTATTTTTTACAGAGAGGAAGGGAGAAGGATAGAGAGATAGAAACATTGATGAGAGAGAAACATTGACCAGCGGCCTCCTGCACACCCCCTATTGTGGATGTGCCCGCAACCAATGTACATGCCCTTGACCAGAATCGAACCTGGGACTCTTCAGTCCACAGACCAACGCTCTATCCACTAAGCCAAACTGGTTGTGGCATCTCCCTGTTTCTTTCTTGTTAAATTTCTTGTTATGTCAGCTAAATAGCACATTACTAGATGCCCAGAATGATTAATAACTGAATATAATAGAGTATATGGTGTACCTCATGGGTAACTGGCAAGCAAAACAGAGTTCATGTTGTAGGAAGGTTTGATTTGTAAAATCCGATTAACACGGGAAGGTGATAACTGACTTGTTTCCTCTTGTCCACTTTTGGTGACAGTCTTTTTATTAATTGTGTTTTTCACTCTACCAGCATTTCTTCATGCAAACATGGGCAACCTATAGTATTTTTCTTTGACTCACGGAACATTCTCAGCATAGTCTTATTTTATCACGAAGTTCTATTTGAAAAGTTAGGAAGAAGTACTTGGGTTCTAGGGGAGACACATTCTCCCACTATCTCTGCTCCTCCTCAGACTTTCTTTAATCTCTGACTCCTTTCTTATTACGCCCCCTCCTAGTTGCTTTACCTGTATTATCATATTTAATACTCTGTGAAGTTTTTTTTATTCTCATTGTATAGTTGAGAAAAATAAAGATCAAAGAAGTTAAATACTTTTAGTAACTGAAAAACTTGAACTCAAACCTGTTTATCACCAAAACATATGCTATTTATTGTTTTTTAAATTTTTTTACTTATTTCCTCACAGCTTTGCTGACATATGATTAACAAATAAAAATTGTACATATCCAGGTTGTACAATATGATTTTTTAAAGATATACAATGCAATGATGATTTAATGTATTTATATATTATAAAAGTACCACAATCAATTTAATTAAGATATCCACCACTTCAGAGAGTCAACTTTTGTGTGTGTGGTGAGAACTACTCTTTGGGCATTACAGTATTAAAACATTTTCAACACTATGTTATTTAAAGAGCTAGGCATATTTGGAGCATTCCAATCGAGAATGACTACAGCATAGGGAGTGAGAAGGAAAAGACTGGGCTAGAGATCAGGCTGCAGAAGAAGGCAAATTCCAGATTACAGACCTAGTTATTCCCCAGTCAAGATATGAACTTTATTCTGAAGGTTTAAGCAGGTACATATATGCTAAAATCAGCATTTAGAGAGACACTTGGCAAAAGTGAGGAAGACGGATGGGAGATATCAAACAAGGTTAGAGTTGGCACACACCAGTTTCATGTACAAATAAAAGGTAAGAAGGGTGGCTCAGCTGGTTGTGGATCAGTGGTTGAGCATCAACCTATGAACCAGGAGGTCATAGTTCAATTCCCAGTCAGGGTACATGACTGGGTTTTGGGCTCAATCTCCAGTGTGGGGGGTGCGGGAGGCAGCTGATCAATGATTCTCTCTCATCATTGATACTCCCCCCCTCCCTCTGCATCCCTCTCTCTCCCTTCCTTCCTCATATTTTTTTTAAAAAGGTAATATGGGTATAAACAAAATGAAGTTAGTATCAAATACAAATCGAAGTCTTTAAAATTTTCATACAAATTGAAACTTTAAAAATAAATTGTCAAGAGTAATAAATATGTTTAAATCCAAATTACTCTTTTTCAACTCTATTTGAATAAACTGAAAAATAGTTTTGACAGATTTTCAGTTTAATCAAATGAGAAGGCATAATATCACTGAATATTTAGAATTATAGATTTCTGAAATTGTGCATACTAATAAAAATATAAAAATTTATTAGCTGTTTAGTGATATTAATTGGAAAACTTAGATTGATTTAAAAATATAAACTTTTTTTCTTTAGAATTGGGTTGTTAGGGTTTGTCAAGTCAATTCCTTCATTTTTACAGATAACAAAACTCAAGTACAAAGAAGGCATAATACTTGCCAAATATGCACAGGGTGCCTATTTAGGACTAGCACCCAAGAGTCTTGACTCCTATTTAATGATTGTTCTCACTTTCACATGAAGACATGGTAAAATCGGAGGGGGGAAAGTAAAGCAAGCTCATAGTAAATATAAACCATATACCAATGCTTACTGGGATCTCATTTCATCCTCACATCTACTTTACAAGGTAGGTATTGTCCGTCTTACAGATGGGATACAGAGACTAAATAACTTGTTAAAGGCCACATGACTATCAGACACCAAAGCTCATCTCTTTTCATCACAGCACATTAATAATGCCAACAAGAAGATAAGAGTTTTCTTCTAATGTTTAACAAAATACCAGGTTTATATTAATAAATTCAGAAATCATTGAAACTGACCTGTAACATGCACCTGGATACAACAACTTCAGGTACTTCAGGGAATTTTTGTCGCAGGTCATGTAAAACCTGAAAATCAATTTGGTGGCTTCCTTGGGCCATTCGTATATTGCCCGATCAGGACTACTTATACAGTAGGCAGTTCTAGGCCTTAGTGGAAATAGTACTCATCTCTTCTGTCCAAGCATTTTCTGTGAAAGAAAGAAAAAAAAATTTAATGAGAACTGATTATAGAATGAATATTGTTGTGGATTTAAAATTTTAATAAAAAGGGTATTGTGCTCTAGTACCTAACATTTAATATAAATTATAAAAATACTACTTAGTCCTATAATAAGTTATACTCTCTTTTCAGTTTTTAACTCCTGATGGCAAGCTGCTGTGCCCATAGGTATTTAAGAAATTATTGTCCAGGTAGTCTTCACTCATTCTTTTAAAAGGGGAAATTGACTAACTTTACTTATTTTTTTCTTAATGATTAAAGAATGGCCTGAGGAGAGTAATTCTCATTTACATAAAATTAAGAACCTGAAAAACTTTGGTTCTACAAATAACTTTGCATGCTTTGTTTAAAAATTACCTATAACCCAATACATTTGATATTTTCTGTTAATATTTAGATAGACTTAATCCTTAAGTGTGTAATCAATTCATTTTCAGGGGCATAGTAGCACTTTATTCTGTGTTTCCATTAAATCAGTATTTAAAAAGTATTAATGCTTGGGCTTAACTCCAGAGATTCTGATTTAATTGGTTGGGGAAGAGCTTGTGCATGTAAGTTTCTTAAAGATCCTCAAGTGATCCTAATGTGTGATCAAAGTTGAGAACTGTCTACCTTATTTTTATTCGTAATGTAAACCATGTTGATTCTTATTTAAGCCTCTCTGGGATATAAATAGCATATAAGTGTATTAAACTAAAATAGCATATTAAAATATTTTAAATCATAGCATTTGTTTAATAATTAAAATACATTTCATTTTAGGATAAATTTAACAAAAAGACAGTCTCTTTAAAAAATTTCTTATTTGTAGTATTTCTTTTACCTCATTAACATAACCTTAAGAAAATACAGGTCTAATAAACTCCATGAATATAGAAATTAGGTCTCTTTGATTCATTATTGTAAATCTAGCACTTTGTAGGCAGTTTTCAGCATAACAGTATATATTAAACTATTTTTTAGTAAATTTAGTTACAACAGAATTCCTGAGTCCTCAACAGAATAAGTCACTTAGAGAACATGCACAGTACAGCCGTTCAGATTTTTATTATCATTTGATTAAACTTTAATTTTATGCAACTAGCTTCGTTACATAATAGGTGAAGGCACTGTCAAACCAAGGTATTTGCAATATAGATTTCCAAAATTCATTTCTATGTAAGATACATACACACACAATTTCAGCACTGAAAGTGTTTCTACAAAAGGGCTGCAGGAGAAAAGTACTGAAAATTAGTAAACGGTATTTAAAAATAATTTAAGGGGTGCTGCTCATCTTGAGAAAGCTACTCTTGACTTTACTCTGCCCCTTCCCTCTTCTGGACTTAAACTTTTAGAAAGGGTATTTATACTTAATCATCTTCATTTTCTTTCTCCTAATCTCTTATAAATCTACCCCAATCATAGCTTTTCCTACTGAAACTATATTCATTAAAGCTGTCAACAGACCTTCGGATTTTCAAACTAAAGATCACAGTCCTCTGTCTTCATCTCAGAGACCTCTCCTCTGTCACTCCCTCCTTCTTTAAACAATTTCTTAACTTCTAAGATTTACACTCTTCTGATTTTCATCCTACCCACTGGCAGCTCCTTTTCAGTTTTTTTCAGATTCTCTTCCTTCTTCCTTTTTTGACATCTAAATGTTGGTGGCTAGGGAGTTCAGGTCTACGGTTTCTTTTCAACTATACCTACACTTCTCTTCAAGGTAATCTCATCCAAACACACTGCTTTAAAGAGGCTTTGCAAATTTTTATCTCCAACTCCAAAGGAGCTCTCGCCCTGTAGTCCCAGACTAATATGGCCTGCTGCCTGCCTGACATATCTCCTTCTGTACATCCAAAATCCTTTGTGTGTTCAAAATTCCCCAAACCATTCCTTTCCCAGTCTTTTTCATCTCCAGCAAATAGTACCATCATTCATATAGTTGCTCCTTCTCTAATATCCCATATCTAATCCATCATCAAATCATGTTAGAGGTATCTAAAAAAATAAATTCTGAATCTGAATTTCCCCATCGCTGTTACTGCTTTTGTCCAAGTCACCATCATAATTCACCTGGATTGAAAGCCTCTACTCTTGTTCTACATGCACCCCTCCTACTCTAATGAGGGGTGTGACTTTGTAAAAATTAAGTCAGTCATTCTCCCATGCACAAAATCCTGCAACACACAACTCCTGGCTAACTACCAACCCTCAGACTTCATCTACCATTCTCCTTGTTCCCTCAGTTCTGAACTGAGCCTTTGGCTCTTTGATTTCTCAAAGAAGCCAATCTCATTCCTCCCTTGGGCTTTTGGACTGGCTGTTCCTTGTGCCTGGGATACTTTCCCCTCGGATTGCTTGCATGGCTCCTTCTCTTACCTCATGAAGATCTCTAAGCAAATGTCACTTCTCAGAAACAGCTTCCCTGACCAATCTATCTAAAAGATAGCCACACTTATAATAAAGAACATTATAAACCGATGAACCAAAAGAAAGATATAGAGACAGTTTATCAACAAGCAGACTGTCAAATTACAGCGGGGAGGGGAGGAAGATCTGGGGGAGATAATAGATCAACTGAAGGACTTTTATACATGCACATAAGTATAACCAATGGACATAAAACTCTGGGGAGGGAGGGGATGTGTGGGTGGGAGAGAAGGGGGGCAAAAAAATATATTAAAAAAAAATACTGAAGGACCTCTTTCCCACTATTTCGAATACTTAATACCTAATTTCATAACATCACATGTACCATTTTAAGGAAGTAATGATTTAGTGGGAAATTAGTGCTTTGCATTTGTATACTGTAAATATAAATGACGATTTGTTTGAAATGTGTAACTTTGATATGCAAAAGATAATAACTCACAATGTTAATATTAAATATTCCTTCAAAATAAAAAAAATAAAAACTCAAAAAATAAATAAATAAATAAAATACAGCCATACTTGTCTACCAATCCATCACATTCTTATACCTGTTTTCTTCATAGCATTTATCGATACATGACATATACTTATTGTCTATGTAGGTATCCTTAAATTGTTAGTTCCACATGACTTAGGTCAAAGAAGCAACATTTTGATGAAATGAAGGTTTTACTGTTTGATTTCTTCAAATTATTTTGTTTAAAGACATTTCTAATGATCTAGATATTTCCTGCTCTCAGAAGCAAATATCTAGAGGGAGAAGCTTATCCAGAGGGTGAAGCAAATACATTTCAGTCTAATTCAGGAACATTTTATTATTTAAAAGAGGATAAATCATAAAAATGTCAACTTATTTTATTATTAAAACATATACAGAAAGCTCTGAAATTCTTTAAAAAACTATCACACTTGCTTTTTCTATCAAGTACACAAACGAAGAAACTGTTCAAATGCACAAATGTATTTTGGATTCCACTTCCTGTAATGGCTAAGTAGCTCCTACTAGATCAACTCTCTCACCAAGAACAACTATAAACAATAGACAAAGTATAAAAAGCAACTACTTGAAGGCAGAAGCAGAAACAGCAATGGGGTGGTAGTGGTGGTGCTAGGGATGGGGAGAAGGGAGTCAGTACTTAGGAGAGGGTACAGCATGGCGTGACTTTCCAGTTTTAAAAATAGCTTATAGCCAGAAAGCTGGCCCCAGTTGGTTTGGGTAGATAAATGCTAGGCAGAAAACATGCAGTCTTACTTACTTACTGAAACAAAGGACAGACTTGGACATAACCACAACAGCTGAAAACTAGTGAGTAAATCACAGAAAGAACAGAAGCACCAAATTCTACATATTCTATCTACCCACATCTCTGATTCCCAAACTACACATATGTCAGTGATTCCAAGCAGCCATGCTAAGTCTAAAATAACAAAACTGAGATTTCAGGCTATAGTTCGAGTTCAGACAAGTTAATTAAAATTGACATGCAAACAAGCAAACAAACAAAACCACCAACCAAATAGCAATACTACCTGGAGAAGCACAACAGAATTCACAGTCTTTACTCTTGTCATTCATAATGCCCTTGCTCTCTCTCCAGGCCACAGAAGCGCATGGATTAAATACATGTTCGTATTTAGATAACTATTTTAACCTGCCCACTATTTTATCTTTCATCTATCTCCTTCTGCTACCAGATCTGATGCCTGCCATCTCAGTTTATCTTGCTATCAATTTTTTGCTATTTGTTTTCACATCATTCAAAAACAGAACTTGAAAGGTGGTATGATACATTATGAAAAAATTGTAGAGAACAGAGCAAGAGAAAGGTAGGGCCCAAATCATGAAGTGTTTTATAGGCCATTAAAATTTGGAAGTTTTATTTTCAGAGTAATGGGAAGCCATTTGAAGGACTTAAGCTCAGAAGTAGGGAAAGTGACATGATCAAGAAAATTATGTATATATTGACAATCGCTGGCTATAACACAGAGAAAAGAGCAAAAGAATATGTGAGAAGACCAGTTAGGAAACTGCTTAGTCTAACCAGGAAATGTAACGGCTTGTAATCGCAGAGAAACCAATAAAGACTTGGAGTAGAAGGAAAAAACTTAAAAGTTATTTAGGAAGTAAATTATTTTGTTCTTTAGATTCTTTCTCTGACCTGGCTTATTTTGCTTAGCATAATACTTTCCAGGTCCCTCCGTGCTGTCTCAAAGGGTAAAGTTTTTTTTTGTTTTTTGTTTTTGTTTTTTACTGCTGCAGAGTATTCCAGGGTGTGAATGTACCACAGTTTTTTTTTTTGTTTGTTTGTTTTTAAATCTACTCATCTACTGATGGTTACTTGGGATGTAACCTCTGGAGATAATATTTTTTTTTTCTGTGAATATTGGAATCTTGAGTTACACAGGACCTAGGAAATCTAATTCGATAGGTTAGAGAAAAGTCTTGTTGCCTAGTAAACTCCTT